GTGTATAAGACAAATTTATTTATTTAATAGCAAGCGGAAACAGTGTAATCATTCTATAATATTCTTTTATTTCACCAGCATACTTTTTATATATGTCTCGAAATTTTACGATATTACTAGTTATTTGCAAAATACTTATTGTAGTTTTTAACTTACACATCATTCCCAATACCTAGAATGAAATAGCGAAATCGTTGTACAATTATTTTTGCAAAATATTTTGAACTGTTGTTGATATATATTGTTTAAAAATATTAATAGAAGAGTATTCTTTACAAATCCTGAATTTCTATACAATAGTGACAGTAAAAAATGAAGTGATGTATGATAGTGTTTATATTACATTGTTGAAAATATGTTATTGTACCTGGAATAACATAAAGAAAATGCCGATCTTGTTCAGGGAACATAACTTTAAGCTTATCTTAACAACTTCAACTTCTGCTTTCTTGAAAAAAGGTCAATTGACAAATGAAAAGCTACTTTCATGCTAAGATCTTAAATAGATGAAAAAAAGGCATTATCTAATTATATATGCTATTAATAAAAATAATCCGTATCAGTGTTTATGTTTCATGAAATCACACAAATGAATTTATATTATAAATCCTTTTAATAATACTAACAAATGAATTTAATATTTGCATATTTGTACATTTTTCTAATAAAATAATATTTCATATGTTCTAATATAAAATAAAGTTGATTTTAGATCCATTGAATGTACAATGTGAAATATTAGCATTTTATTATGGGCATACTTTTAATATTCATCAATTAAATCAAGTGTTTGTACATTGAAAAAAAAATTGTACTTATTCATATTTTGTAAATTACATTAAATGAGGCAGTGCCTTTGCATATATGATTATTCATTTAAAGAACATAGATAAAATTCTTGTTGTTTAAAGGAATAATCGCACAAAAATTAAATTTGTTTTACTTAAATAAAATTAATTTAATAATGGCACTGTTTTCGCTTTTTATAGTTACACTTAAAATATATTATTTGTAAATATAAATACATAATGTAAAATGATTGCAATCTTTTGTTAAAGTTGTATAAAACAAACGTGTGCTTTACATGATCTGTAGTATGAAGTAGTAACTTTTTACATGTAATTTGTATGTTAGGAAATTAAGAACCAATGCTCGTGCGATTTTAGGAATTTTTCATATATAGAAATAGACATTTTTCAGATTTATATAGTATAAAAAATTAATTCACTTACTATATAATAGGATACAGGTTTTTCAAGACAGTTATGCAATCGGTAAACTAACGTAGTATAAGGATATGTGCACAAATATTGGAAGTCTTGACTGTCTCGAGCAATTGTGATATTAGCTTAAGAATATTAAACAGAAAATGATATAAATAATAATGATTAGAAATATAACGGATATTTTTTTAATAACGCCTTGAAGAAAAGGAGTCATATCATGTGGACTCAAGAAAAGTCAAATATCTGGTTATATTATAATTTAATATCAATCTTAACCTTGATCATTTAATTATATTATTATTAACATGTTTCATATCTTAATCTCCAGAATTAATATAATTTTGTGTATATAAATATTGTTAAATAACAAAACTTAACAGGACAGCGTTAGTTTCGATTTATGTAAAGTTTAGTTGTGAAACCAATGTACTCTGTTGCATACTTAGTTTATCGAAACCCACCGTCACCAATAAAAAAAAATATTCAATTGTTTCATACTTGTTTCTTATTTATTTGGAAACCTGTTTAATTAAACCATAATTTTATATATATATAAAATTGAATGTAAAGCTTTATTTCGATACCAGATGGCAGTTTTGCATGATTTGATTAAATTGTTAATATTCTAAATCTTATATTATAAAATTAATGTTATTTTTAATACTATAGCAATAAACTTTGATAAAAAAATATTTTTTTAAATTATGAAAAATTATATCTAAATCTTGAAATTTCTTAAATATATTTTATTAATATAATATATATATTATAATTAGAGGTTAGTAAAATTAAGTATTATTATAATATATATTGTAATATATATAATGTAGCAATATAATGTTATATATATGTATGTAATAAATTAATATAATTAATAATATACTTTTAAAATGTTAATTTAAATTAAATGCATTATTACAATGCATAAAAACTTTCTTCAAATAAAAAACTATAAAATATAATACGATATAAAGTAATAATAATATTTTACTAATATTTTAATGATGAATTATGTGTTTCATGCTTCGATTTAGGAAAAAAGATATAATGTTGGATGCCCTGAGAATATCATCAGAATATCTTCCGGTAAGAGGTCGCACTCACAACGTTCTCGTCAACGTACATGTTCTTTTCCGGTAGAGTGACAAAATGACTGGCTTCAGTAATAAGGTATGTTTGTTAAGTTTTAGTATTTCAAGTCCTGTAAGATAATTTATATTATATAATATATTTGTTTTAATCTATACATTACGTACAAAAGTTTTAGAAATATCTTTTCGACTTGAAATTAATTATTTAGAAATATATTCATTTATTGTATCATTTTCAGTACACGTGTTTTCTTACTATGTTATTTATTATATTTCCTTCTATAATGATATAAGTTTTATATTTAATTGTTTTTCGGTATTAAAATAGTACATGTATATATTAATTATATGATATTCTAGAAATAATTATTTTAATTTTAAATTCGTCAATTGACACGTTTGTTATTTATAATCGTATATATATTTATGCAATTTAAATTTTCAGTAAAACTAAAAACTCAGTGCTACAAATATTTCTTGTATAATACTTATATGTAAAACGAATAAGATATTAATTATTGTAATTACATGTTTTTAGCCAATATTAATTGATGGCCGTGGCCATTTACTTGGTCGTTTGTCAGCTATAATTGCCAAAACGATTCTACAGGGCAATAAAGTAATTGTTGTTCGTAGTGAACAACTTAATATATCCGGTAATTTCTTCAGGTTAGTAAAATTAAACATTGTATTAAATTATATTACGATTTATGTAAATGTACATATATATTTTTAAAAAGTCTTTTAATGTTGTGTGAATTATTGAAATTCATTTTATATAAATATTTTATTCTAGGAACAAGCTAAAATTTATGTCATTTTTACGTAAAAGATGTAATGTAAATCCAGCTCGTGGACCTTTTCATTTCCGTGCTCCCAGTAAAATACTCTGGAAAACAGTTCGTGGTATGTTAAAATGTTTGTCATTTAACAGAATTTTGTAGTTTTATATTAATCAATGATTATGTGTATATTACCTACATTATTTGATGGTATCATGAAAATGACATTTATATGAGATTAATTATATTTAAATAATTAAATAACCTAATACACATATTTTACAATATGCTGTGTGTTTAACTAAAAGTACCATTGAATTCATAGGAATGATCCCACACAAAACACAACGGGGAAAGGATGCTCTTAGGAGGTTAAAGGTATACGAAGGTTGTCCACCCCCATATGATCGCAGAAAACGTTTTGTTGTGCCAGGTGCCATGAGAGTTATGTGTCTTAAACCTGGTAGAAAGGTAAAATGAAACTAATTACTTATATAGTAAATTATCTAGATTTTTTACAATGATGGTAAGGTAATTTGCGCCTGATATATTTTGTGATGTTACATTTAGCTGAGTAAATAATAAGAAAATGTACATAAATATATTGTATAAAAATATCATACGATACTAATGCAATACTTTTTTTTTTTAAGTACTGTCATGTAGGTAGATTATCTCATGAAGTTGGATGGAAGTATAAGGCCGTTGTACGTACATTGGAGAACAAGAGAAGAGTTAGATCAATTCTCGAAGTTCAAAAAAGAGATAAACTTAAGGTATATTTAAAAATATGGCAAGTATAAATGATATGGCAAAAACTATTTTATGTTATTTTCCTTGTTTCAGAAACTTACCAAACAAGCTGGGCAAACGGTTGCAAAGGCTACCGCGCCGTACACAGAAATTATTAACAATTTTGGATATAATTAATATGAAAAATGTAAAAATAATAAAGCTACATAAACACTTTGTTGCAATGACTGTACATATATATCTGTCCTTGTCGCACGCTATTGCTCTCCTTGTCTACCGCGGTTATATGTCTGTCCTCGTCGCACGCTAGTGCTCCCTGTCTAATGCTGCTAGACAGGGAAAGCAACAGTGTGCGACAAGGACATCCTTCGATCTATTGGAAAAAGAATTCAACTTTTCACACACACGTTTTTCCAGAACAAAACACACATAGAAAGAAAGCGGGGAAATTAATTTTAAAGAGGCATATCAAAAAGTTGGCAAATTATTCTTCTTAATTAGGTTTTTTTTATAATTAGTGCGAACTGTCACAAAAATGGACATGGTGGCGCCATCTAGCGGTAGCTCAGTGGTACTAATTATTTATAAAAATACTTATTTCTGCATTTTCCGGATCAAATGAGGTATGAAAAGAAAGCTAAGGCTCTAATTAGAGTAATACAATCGCCAAAGACGTGTGTGTAAAAAGTTGAATTTTTTTTTCAATAGATCGAAGAGTGTCCTTGTCGCACACTATTGCTTTCTTTGTCTAGCGTCATTAGACAAGGAAGGCACTAACGTGCGACAAGGACAGACATATAGCCGCGGTAGACAGAGCAACAGCGTGTGACAAGGACAGACTTATAGCCGCGATAGACAAGGAGAGCAACAGTGTGCGACAAGGACAGACATATACAGGGTGCCATCTGACAAAAAAAAAAGTTTCGAACAAAAGTTGAATGGTACAGGGTGTACAGTAGGTGTCAATAAAAAAAATTTCGAAAATTGTTTGTTTTCATAGCTAAATCAAGGTCATTTTAGATTAAACAAACATAATTTTTTTTCTACCTCTGTAGAGAACATCGTAACCCTGTATATCCTTACAATATTCTCAATATAATTCTGTATAAAAAGCATACATTTTAATACTATAATCTTTAGATTATATCTTAAGATTCATCAATTTATTCATATATAAAATATTTATATACGTAAATTAATACAAGATAAATTTACTTTCTATACTATCTACTTTAAAAACAACAGTTCCTGCTTTGTCGTTATCTTCATCATCATGTACTTCATTTTCTTCTTCATCCGAGGTAGAGAAATCAGATTCTTTTTCATCTTGAAGACGATAAGTACCTACATTTGCAGGTGGAGGACCAATATTATGTGAACCAAGTTGTTCAACTAATCTTTCAGCTGCGTGTTTAACTTGTATCATCTAAAAAATATTACAAATTTATGTATAATATACATCCTTTATAAATATTTACAATATTACAAAACTTAATTACATGAAATTTATCAGCTTGTTCTTTTTGTAACTGTAGAGATTCGTTTAGATTAATAACTTTTGCAGCACCATAAACTATAAGAGGTGGTGTTGCTGCTGTAACTTCCCAATTTTTATTTTGTTTTCTTTGTTTTTCTTTTTCTGGATCATGTACATTAGTCTTAGTTGTTTTATATGGCTTGAATGGTTCTTTCTTATTTTCTGGAGAGTTTTCTACTTTATTAATAATGTATGCAATGTGGTCAGAAGCTTTTATTTTAAAAGATTCTATTTCTGCTAAATCTTCTGGCTTAATTAAATTTTCCTCTGGTGGTAAATGTACAATTTTCTTTCTATGAACACCACATCCTGTAGGCTAATAATAATAAACAAAATAATAAACATGGACATGTCAATATAACATAGTTTATAAATAACTTACTTGAGCCAATATTTTTAAAGGATCTTCTTCATCATCACTATCAAGTTCAACAACTTTGACAGTATCTCTGGTTTCGGTATATTTGCCTGTCCATTCTAATTCATTCATAGCAGCTTTACCCTCAGATGCTAAATTTAATCTTGACAAAAGATTGGCTGCCTTTTCAACTTCATTTTTATGTTCTAGTTCTTTCAATATTTTATCATGAAAAGATTTGATTTTTTCTCCTTTGTCTGGCAACTTTAATATAAATATTCTAAAATAAAAGTATATATGTTTTACTAAAATAGTCTAATAAAAAGTATAGCTTATATCTTAAATCTTACTTACTTATTACTCAGGATTTTATTTTGTCTTTCTAGTAATTCCTCTAGTTCAAATTTTTGTTTGCTTCCTAAATTTTCTATGTATCCTTGACTTTCTTTTCTGGAAGGAGGTGGTAAATCGCCTGGTATTTTATTAATTATTTTTCTCTGAGACATTTCTTTTTGAGTTATTTTTGGAGCTTTTATAAATTATAAAATTTGAAATATTTAGAAATTATTTCATTAACCTGAAATAAACACAAATAATATTTCAAGTATCACGGAAATATAATACTCTTAAGAGAAACAAATATTACATCAGTTTATGTTAAATAACAATTATTTTACTTCAATAATTATTATAAGTTAATTCAATAATTATTATTATACAAAATTACATATATTAACGGAATTAGACGATACAAAGTTTCACTGAATGGAAGATTGCAACAAACAACACATTCAATACGAGATATCGAGAGCTTCAAAACTATCGATATTACAAGACATGTTAAACGAAGATCTCAATTCCAACCTCAATAGAACTTATCAGGAGAATTTAAATAAAATGTTTGATTTATTGTATTATGTTGAATCTTTATCCATTTGTGACGAATAAAGCTATCATCCCGAGCTTAATACAAAGAGAACATTAAAATATTGGATATTTTATTTCAAGATAAATTGAAAAATAATTTTTGTATAAAGTAATAAAAGTGACGTAAAGTTAATGTAATGATTAAAAGCAAGTTCGCGAAGCAACTGCCAATCTTTAGAAATGAATTGCAATGGGGGGTCGTCTTTGGGTGGTGAATATAGATCAAATACCTTTATGGATATTAAACCAATTATCACGTGTAAGTTCAAAATATTAATATATGTAACCTCTTTATGGTGACATTGTTAGATATTATTATTTACGCCCTTAACAAACTGTCAATCTTTTTGACAAACTGACATTTTTTTTAAATCAGGATTGTTCGTGATACGATATTATATGTTTTAGATTACATAGCTCATAATAATAATTTTTCAGCAATATTTAAGACTTTCTAAATAATTAGCATTTATCATTGATGAACATATGTTATTTTAAATAGGTTAATTCTTTCTTTTTATAGTAAATATTTTTTTTTATGTATAGTGTTTCAGTTTTGTTGTATATCAATTATTTATCTGAATGATGAAACACTTATTAAACTATATATATATATATATAAAATATTTGTTTATATTACTTTAGTTTATTTTAATGACTTTTCCAATATAGATGCAGGAGATGAAAAATTATTTTCTACATTGGAAAACAGTTTGCTTCAAGCCATATCTGTCGATATGGTGGAATGGCGTAGATCATTTAGTAGACCAGTTAAACAAGTCAAACTTGGAGCAACATTTTTGCCATTTTCTAAGGATGTTCTGCCAACTGAGAAAGATTGGCACTTGATAAAGCAGCCAATATTTCATATCTATTGGACTGAATGTTCTGTAAGTTGGTTAATATTAAAATTACTAAAATATCTCATGAGTTTAATATGTACTTTCATATTTGTCTAATTATGTATATTGAGATTACAGGATGTAGATACTTATAAAGCAAGCATTAGAGAAGACATAGATAACTGGTTGAAGATATTAACACAGTATCATATTCAAGATTGGATGATTGTTATAGTGGAAACTTATGATATAAAAAAAACTAATAAGTTATTACCTAGGACAACGGTTTTAGATAAAATTCGTAGTGATTTTGCTGCTAAAAATGGTGATAGGTGAAGTAATAATTATTCAATGAATGTTGGATTTTTCTTTTTACATATTATTCCTTTATTACATCTTATGTTTAATGTATTATATAGATGTTGTTCTGTAATAAATCCGATAAAGTCAGAGATGCGTTCAGCTGAATCATGGAGAAGTTTAGTTAGCCGTATACGTTATTTAATGCTTGTTGCATATGATAAAAGACTATCTCACTTTGAAGATATTATTAGAGAACAAAGAGAAAATAGAAATCATCCAAACTGGAATTTCTGTCACTATTTCCTACTGCAGGTAAATTTTAATCAAGTATTAATTCAAATATCATTATTAACGTTAATTCATTATTTCAGGAAGAACTTGCATTTGTTTTACAAATGTTAGGATTATATGATGAAGCATTAGTACAATATGATGAATTGGATGCTCTCTTTACACAGTTTGTGCTTAATTCAAATGTAGGAGGTATGATATTTCATTTTCTCTTTCTTATTATTCATTTTTTTTAAATTATGAAATTAATTATTTAAAAATTTGCAGATACACCAATCTGGTTAAATTTATTTCAAACCCCATTAAATAACTGGGGTGGTGTTAATTTAAGTAATGGTACAAATCATCATTTAAGAAACCTTCTGGCTGAATGTAAAGCATCATTATTAGATCTTAGAAGTTATTTATTTAGTAGACAATGTGCCATGTTATTATCACTTAACAAACCATGGGAGGTTGGTATATATTAAAATTGTTTTTATTTGCAAAAAGTTTAATTTTACTATGAATATAAACATACAATTATATTTTAATTTAGGTTGCGCAAAGGTGCTTATCATTTGTTCATAATACATTAAGTGAATTACGTATATTAGAAGTTCAACGACCTGAAGGATCCATTGAATGTTGGTCTTTTCTTTGTGCATTAGAAATACTTCAAGCTTGTCAATTATCATCTTATAATATTGATAATAATCAACAACTAGATCTTTGCTCCTTACATACCGCGAGTTTATGGGCTCTTGCTAGGGATAAAGTAAGTTTTCAGACATATTGGTTGTAGTATAAATTGTAGAAATTATATAAATAATACTATAGATTTTATTAATAATATTATGAATTATGGAATTTATTTTAGTTGGGAAATTTAGGAAAATTATGTGGTTTAATGCCTGGAAGTGAACCATCTAGTGAACAATTACACACAGTTGTTTATTTGATAGCTGGAATGGGAGATTCTGAATCACAGATAGAAGGAAAATTAACACCTACTGATAAATTAAAAGAAGCACTTTCGTCGAAAGAGGCATTTAAGAAACAATATCTTGAACATGCAGAATTAGCTATGGGTACTTACAAACATGTAGGCCGAATTCGATCAGCTCGATTAATCGGGAAAGAATTAGCACAATTTTATAGTGAACTTGGAGAGAATCAAAAAGCTGTTGCATTTTTATCGGACGCCTTAAAAACGTACACTGACGAAGGTTGGAGGCACTTAGCAGCACAAACTCAGCTTGAATTGGCTCAGTGTTACAAAAGAATGGACGATGTTGAGAAATACACAAAAGTATGTGCTGCTATCGCTAGTTTGGATGTATTACATGTTACTGTTCGTAATACTTATTTTGAAGAAATGTTTGGGTATATGAAAATGATCTCATCACCACAACCCTTACTCGTAGAACTTGGATGTGCTTTTGTAGTACTCAGCATGGAAGTTAAAGTGATGGATAAAGTAGTGCAAGACTGTGTGGTTAATATCGAAATATATATGCAAAATTTATTTCCTAGAGAAGTAAAGTGTACTAAAGCGTCTATATCTGTTGAAGAAATTCAGAAACCTTTATCATCTAATAAAAAAAAAGGTTCAAGATTACCACCTGAACCATTAATTCCACTATTATCGAAATGTACTCTAGAAGATATGAAACCATTTGATCCAAGTTTACTTCAATTACAAGTATATTCATATTTAGATTATAAAGAAGATAAAAGCCTCGGATCAGCTAGTGTCTTACACAGAAATACTAAGCCTATTGTAAGACGTTCTGACAGTACAAAACATAGGAAACCATCAGTAAATGCAAAAGGTGATTTTAGCAAAGCACTATCCTGTGATGAATTTATTATGAAACCAGGTATGAATACGTTTACATTAACTAGGTGTGTTGATCAGCCTGGTTTTTATAAAGTTGGTCAAATATCATTAATAATTGAGGAAAAATTGGAATTTTTGTCACCTATTTTAAATCCTCGGTTATGTTACGAAGTAGCTAAGACTCAGCCTACAATTTCCATGAAATGTGGTAGAGACTTATTAGCAGGCCTTGTTCAAGACATAGAATTAGTGATTATGAGTGGGAGTATAAAAATAACAAAGGAAATGAAACTTAAATTACGTACGTCTAGAGGATTAATAATACAAATTGATAATTCACAAGAAACAATGTCTAAAGAATTAGAAATATCACTGCCACTTTGTGAACCATTTCAAACAATACGATTAAAGTTCAAAGTTTTAGCTGAATTACCACCAAAAAAAGATTCTTTATCAATGGAACATAAGGTATGCTTTTCTGCATAAAATTTAAAAATAATCGATAATTGTATGCAAAAAAATACACATAATTTAAAAAAAAATATATAATATTAAATTTTTCTAGTTGAATATACAATGTCCATGGGGTTCAGAGGAAAGCATACCTCTACATTTTGGTCCGCCACTTATGTCAAATATGAAACTTCATACAGCAAAACAAAGAAAATTTCTCCAAATAATTGTAACAGGATTAACAAATCAACATCTGCAATTAATTGAGCCAGAATTAACAACAGTAACATCAATAGATGTTAACTTTAGAAGTTTAAATCCTATTGCTGGTCAGAGATTAGTAATAGGTAATGGAATAAATGTATCATTTATGTGGGAGCTTGAAATTGGTAAAGATGAGAAGTCTTTGATACCAATAAAGACTGATTTTCGTGTAAAATATATACCAATCAATGATACTGAAGATCAGAATGATTTAAATAGTAATGACGATCCTTTGCAAATTCATAATTTACAAAGAATGGAAAAAGCATCGAGTCTTTATAGATGCAATTTTGATATTACAGATTATGTGGTAAGAATATAATTATTTCTTTGGTTAATAAGTTTAAAATAAGTTTAATAAGTATCAAAAATGTATTCTTGTAACTTATGTAAAAATTTGCTTTATGAGTAATTTAATTATAGTAAAATATAAAATATAAAATTTAGTTTTTAAATATTTCAAAAAGGTGAGTTTCTATTTATAATATCATTTTCCAGACTTTATTTACAGTGTCTTCAAAAGTTGAAGCAGCTGGAAATGGAGGTGAATTTTGTCGTGCTGGTAGTATGTGCCATCTTTATCTTACAGTAACACGTATGTTACCTAGTCCAAATCCAAGTCCTTCACCACAATTAATGTACGAGGTTCTTGCTGATCAAACCATGTGGGCTGTATGTGGTCGTACTGCTGGTATTGTGTCTTTGGAAGTTTTAGAAAAACAAAGCGTCACATTGGACGTGATGCCATTAACCAGTGGTTATTTACCCCTTCCTGTTGTTAGATTGTCTCGCTATATCCCAGCACCAGAATCCAAAAGTGGTAGGTATTCTAATACTTAAATATTAAAGGTATATTTGTGTAATTTTTTTTTATATTTGTATAACTTCATATTATTAACATTTATTAACATTTTTAAGATATGATTCGTAAAAGTGAAATAGCTTCTAGTTCAAGACTAGAACCATTCAGTCCTGGCCAAGTTTATAATGCTAGTAAAGCACAGCAAGTTCATGTTCTACCAGCAGCACCTTCAGAAGCAAACTAAATGCAAATATTGATATTAAAAATGTAAAAATACACCTATGGCATTATAAAATGCAAATTGTATGCACGTTGATCAAGACAATTTCTACGTTGTTTGGTATATTTCTACAATGCAGACTATATACGTATACATATAATATTATTATTATTAATTTATCAATCATCATTATACTAGTTTGTTTATATTTTTATATTTTTTAATTGAAATTTGGATTCTGGACAAATAAAATTTATATATATTGTTCAAAATTTATTTGTTCAAAAAACAAATTTCAATTTGCAGCATTGTTTATTTTTATTAATAATAAGCAACTATAAATTTAAGTTTTGCCATTATTACAAGCAAAGAAATAATATGACAATATTTGAGCAGTAGGTAAAATTCAGAAATTTCATAGTTAAAAAATACTGCTACAATATAATGTTTCTTTTGTGCAGTAATGTGATTTGTATTCTAGTGAACTTATTGAACAATATTCATTTTTTGATATTGTATAGTCCACGTGTAAAATTCAATCAACATATTTCTCTGTTCGATTTACTCTGAATGAAATAAGTTGTAAAAATTTGTTATTTTTATTTTAAAGTACATACTTATAATTTTTCCATCATATACCTATAATAATATAGTTTCTTTAAATTGTTTCTTATATTCCAAATATTTAATTTTTTACATAATTCTATGTGCTAGATTTACGATAATATTTGTGATAATTTCATTCAATCTTGAAATTCTTACAGATTATGTTATTTTAATTGTAAGATAATCGAATATTTAATTTTTTTGTTAAATGCAGTTCTGTAAAATTTGTACAAAAGTTTCTTCAGAATATACTCATAATATTGAATAAGTATTAGAAATGATATAGTTTGTGCAATACAAACAATACAAAAGCATCACAAAAAGTAATTAACATCTTAAGGCTAAAGCTGTGTTCTGTATCTAATTCTAATATTTGTGAAAAATGTAAGTATATGTAAGTATATAAAAGGAACAAGATATATATGTTATTTATATTACATTTACTTCTTAATTTCATTATTCAAAATATGAATATTGCAAAAAGTATCATTATATTGCCATGTTAATTAGGAAATCATCTTTGATTTAATCATTCATTGTGTAAATAAGATTATTATAATACTCAGTATGATATTTATATGTTAGAAAATATCAGAATTTGACATTTATAAGATAAAAAAATATTTTTCAATATAATATAAAATATATTTTAGGAAAATATAACAGTAAAGTTTATTTCCACATTATTTATTAATTAACAGATAGATAATCAAATATGAATAAATTATTAGATATATTTTTCATTTTGTTTGCAATTAAAATAACATTTAATGTTAACGTTTTTAAGTGATAAAAAACAAATTGAAGATATGCATATATGTATATATACATATCTTTGAACATGTGTATATAAAAATATTTGAATATGTTAAATAGTGTATGTATACATAATAGTATACATTGTTATTCTGCACTTTAAGTTTAGACTGATATATTTAATGGAAATTATGAATGTCATGGAATGTTGGTATAAGTTTTGAGTTTGCAATAATGATTTTATTATATATATATATATATATATCATTTCAAAAGGTGTTGATTTTTTAAACAACATAAATAGTTGTTAAAATTCTACAATATGTCTGACATAGTATTAAGATTAAAATATTAAAGTCAGTTCCATGTAATCTCATTGAAATATTATTTGATAAATTGTATTTTACTCAAAATAATTAGACATTGTATCATAGGTTAAAATATAACTTTTATTTTTTATATGTACATGTTAAGATGAATTCTGAATAAAAAGGATTTTATTACATAAAGTAAATAATTAATCCATTACACATGAAGTATCAATTATATTTCAAATATAATTTACACCCTAATGTAATTATAAATGTTATGAATACATAAACATGTTGAGTTATTGAAAAGCAGACATTCAGATTATCAGAAGAGGAAATTGTAGGCGTTAAAAGTTCAGTTGCCTATTTAAGCAGCAAGAAATATGATATATTTTAAGCATACATATTTAAGAAATTTTATGCTATATTTAACATCATATACATATATATATATATATATACACATATAATTATCACAACATGCATATATATGTATTAATTATAAATTATAACATAGAGTTATTAATAAGTAGGTAGCGGTTGTTGTGTGAGTAACAAACCAAATCTTCGTTTTAATGTTATCCTTTCTCTAGAATATTTATCTTCTGGAGAAAATCGAGCTGAAATAATTTTTTATATTAATTTGTTGCAAAATTTTATAGATGGTTGTTATTTACCTGGATGAGCCGATAGCGTTGGTTTTCCATTTGGATCGATTTTCTAGAAAATAAAAAAAAATTATATATATATATAAATAAAAAGAAAAGTGAGGTTATAAATGTTAATATATATATTACAAAGTGAAAATTTAATGCTTTCATTTGCGTATGTAAACAATTACAATTTGTAAATACAAAATAGAATTAACAAGAGAAAAAGATAATGCATTTTTTCTATAAACAAATGATGTACATAATATAACAAAATACATTTTACATATGTTTGTACATTTTAACAAATATATTACCTTTAATGTATATATTCGTTCTCCATTTTCATTCAAATAATACATTAAATACATTTTTAGCAATTAATTTTTATTTTTTGAATGAATTCGGATTGTGCTTGTCAATACCTCGTGCTCGTCAATACCTCGTGCTCAATGACTTATTCTGTCTACACAAAAAAATGTCTACATTTTCTACGCATGCGTCGTTCGAGAATAATTTGATCGATCACATAGATCGATTTATCTGATTTTAAATTTCAAAATTTTTAGTTACAGAGTTGGAATATTTTGAGTTATAAAATTACAATAAAAATAGTTTTTCTAAGTTTCTATAAAAGCTTGATTTCAAATTTGGGCATATAGTTTGCATTTAATATCTAAAACCTTAACGATTAAATATCACATTTTATAAGTTATTAAGATATCTTTTTACGTAAGGTATTTAAACATTAATAATTTAACATTAATTATTTAAATATTTAAATATTATTTAAGTAATTAATATTAATTATTTAAGCTTATTATAAAGAATAATTATTTTGTGAAAAATATAGATACAAAATTTTTCGAAATTAAGTAATAAAAGAAATTTGTTCAACATTATCTTCAATCAATTTTAATTGTACTCATAATGCCGATATGTTAAAGTGTTTGACGGTGAATGGTGTGGTTCATAACAGAGAAAAATTTAAGATTGACTCGTGCTTGTGTCAGAATATCTCGTGGTCGAAAATTCTGATTGTCCACACATATAACAGATCCGTGGGTGTAGAAGTTCTGACAATTCTTCTTAGCAAAGTCGACATTCAAGCACGCATGGTCGATGCAACGAACCGCCAGATAGTCACAATACAGAGTGTCACTTCCGTTGACAGACAAATCATTGTCAGTGTGAAACGAGTATTGCCTGCAACAGCAATGTATTCAGACGTCATCCTACGTAGATCGTGTTAATATAGTTTTCTGATCTTTTTTAACTATATTTAAGGTAATTTCTACATATTTCGCATATTCATAGATTTATTCAAGTGGAATATTAATTACATTTCAATATAATCTTCAATTACTGTATATCTAATCATCAACATCTAATCACACACGTAACATAATTTTATATTGACGATAATATTTTACGATAATACTTTATCAATTTATTACATACGGTCATATTTAAAAATCTTTCTCTCTTTTAAACTAGATATTTTTATGTAGGTATAATAATCTAATTTTTGTAAAGCGTATCTGTAAATTGTACTATTTATTTTATAATCATTTCTTATATATTTGATAACTTATAATTTTAAATAGGCAGTAATAAAGTAAAATGCTTAATTCTTAAGAATATAATTTACAAAAACTATTCAATTATTAACATAATTTACAAAAATCAAAATACATTGGAAAAGATATGTCGTGCAAAATTACATTTAGTTAAGTTAAGGTTAAAATTGTGTTTGAAGAAACTCATTCGAGTCGTATTATCTGTAAACACTCTATCCGTAAAAAATAATCATATACCGATACCGATATATCAACTTTAAAACTAGCGTGAACTACTGATCTAGTACAGTTTGATGTTATACAAGTTATTTATTGTGAACAGAGTTTTTTATTTTATAAACGAAAATGACATATTCTTTTCAGATGCAACCAAGAAAAATTCGATGGATTATTCAAATTGAGGAAGATCCATGGCAAGGTGAGAGCGTCGAGGAACAAATTTCCAGCATTAAAGGTAATTTAAAGATTAGTTAAAATATATATTTCAAAAATCTCGGTGTGAAATAATTTTATAATTATCTCATAGTTTTATAATTGATACATGATCAATTGAAAAACAGCATAAATTGCTTTGTCACTTCACTCATTAACTACAATAATGTCAACATACTACCTATTTCATTCATTAGGATAGTATACTTGTTATTGGCGCTCCGTATCATTTATGTAATTATAAATAGAAATAATCAACGCGATCACATTTTACACCACGTTTTACTTTGTTCCATAATGTAAAAAATATACAATGTATAGATAAAATTCGTTATCATACATAGATTTCATGTATATCGTGGATGTAATGTTTTTGTTAAATTTATGTTATTAATTTTATATCTGACAAAGATTTTCACGCGTAATTATTTTTCAATATTGTAAATCTTCACGTATAATATGATCATATATGTATATCAAAGCATTTGAATGTTATCTAGAATATATATATGTCTTATTACTTTGCAAAACTTTAAAAAGGTATATATTACCTCCGAAAGTTCTCGAAAAACACTTCGCTTATTATATTTTAATGCTTTTCAAAAGATTTGATCTTTTAAGCATGTTTTAGATATATTCGTTATTAATTCAAATAATTAATGCATACATTATCTACATACATCGCAATTTTTAGTATTGATAAATATCATTTTCGCCATTTTTTCTGCTTATAATGCACGTGACGATATTTTTGGAACACATGCGGTATTTCTGGTTGGTGCATTTCGCATAGAGAGAGGAACAGCAACAGTTATATATGAGCCTTGACACCCGATATTTCAATTGCACGTTGTCTATTTTTTAAAGCATTTTTTTTATATGTGGGACTTTAAAATATTTTGAAACCTATACTTAAAAGAGTAAGTAACGATTTTGTAATTTTTCTAAATCGAATATATCGTATATAGTTATGAACGTCTATCGATAGCTATAATTTAGAATTTCTGGTGTTACTTTTATTCATACCGAAGCGACAAATTAACGATAACGAAATTTTCAGTGATCGAATAAATTTAATATTTGATGCGTCGGCGCTGACTTCCAGAAAGAAGATCGCCTACGAGGCAAGCTTCTCAACACCTTACAGTATCTCGACAGACTGCACCGAATGAGGTTCTTTGTTAACGAAATTCATATGTGATCACATTAGAATCTACTAACGCACTATCAATTGGACTCTCATTTAACCAGATTTAACGCATTAATAATTCGCCTGCAGAAAAATATTTAAAATCCGTGTTTATTATGGTGAGATTCTTCAAAGAATTAAAAGTTTAATAAAACTGTAATAAGATATCATTTCGATTATTAATATGTCTAATCATAGATATCGAGTGTTTAATGTTTAATGTTCAGAACGATATTTTGTAAGGAAGTTAATTATAATGTGTAATTGGTATCAAAAGTTGAATATTTCAACATTGTGAATGATAAAGCAATGTTTACAGTTTTCAAAAGAGTGATTTGTTTAATGTAGTGTGTAATACAGTGCATTTTTACAATGTGCTCAGCAATTGTAAATATGTGATAAATTGTTCAACAAAATATAGTATATGAAGAATATTTGATAATAATTTCAAATGCAGATACAACCGGAAACAAGTATGGATGATGATATTTGTAAGTATATCAAATGATAAAACTGCATAAATAATTTGTTTTTATAATTGTTAAAACAATCGCGAGATATAGTGAATCACGGGTTTCACTATATGGATACAGAAAACATTCGTTAAATGATAATATATCTATGCCTGGATTACTTGAAGAATTAAAGACACGACGCTGTGGGAGGTCTCAACTACAGAGATATACCTAGACGCATTTCCCAGAATTGCACTAATTTCGTTTTGATTCAATATGGTTTTTAAGAATACAAATTTAAATTTGTCGAATTCGGATATCCGATGTTAAAATAATATTTACATAACCATATCAATTTACTCTTACCATATTATTTTTAATTGTAGGAAATTTTGATTTCGAGATGACAATTGACAGAAAAAAAAAATTTAAAATTCATACGATAGAGTTATACGGTCTACCTTTTTCTATCTATTCCATTCAGAAGAGACTACTTCTTTCGATTTCTGAGATCCTGTTTACCTGCGATACATTGGGCCTTACGGTGCGCAAGGAAGAGCTGGAGGGCCTGTTTAATGCTCATAGATCGTAATTTTTCCATGTCTGTTATAATTAATCCTTCGAGATATTTCACAGATACTAAATTCATTTGATAAACTATTTGTTGCCTTCTGTAAATTTTTTAAAAGTTATACAATTATCGATTATAAAATTATATACTTGACAAATGTAATGTCGAAAGTACAATTGCACAATTGTTTTTTAAATTCGTAATTTTAATTGAGTCGTCTTTCGATCGAATAATTTTAACTGATGATCAACTGAGTCCAAATTTTAACACTCCTTTCATTGTTTTCTTACGTGGACATCAATAAAGTCCCACGATATATTAGAGAAAGGGAGAGATCATTCGAAAATAAAGGAAAGAACGAGGCGATTAATAGGCAGAAACGAGATAGAATGAAAGAATATATCGCTAGAGGGCGGGTACGGGTGGGGGAAGTTGGGCCTTACTTGTTCCGAACTCCGAGGTTGCCAGTTTGCTCGAGACTTGGCCGGTGTGTAGTTCGTTCAGCGAAATTGACGCTCGTATGAAAGTAAGAACGTATGCCAATTTTTTTTTCTTTTCCATTTGCATTTTTGGCTCTTGAATCGTTTATCGTTCGTGTCTTTCTCATCTTATCGTCATCAAACACTCGCGTTCTCTCTGTCTTTCTGTTCCTCCGATTACCTGTGAGCAATCGACGACATCGTGACTTCACGTATAAATTTCAATCGCGTCAAAGATTTTGGAGCCTTGCTTGAAAGAAACGCCATCGTCGATGGGAGTAAGGTAAACAAGGGAAAAAGATAGAAAGAGGGAACGTAAGGGAAATAGAGAACGCGAAACGCGAGCGAGAGAAACAGAAAGAGAAAGTTAAAAGTCCATGTGTGTATGAGTGACGACGTGTTTGCGTGCATACGGGTGCAGTGGTCTTCTTGACAGTGTGGAATCAACAAGTGTCGTGTACGGATCGTCGTTGTCGCGCGTCGAGCGCGCGTTTCTAACCTCATCATCGAAATCGGCTCATCGAGAGTCGGATTCGTTCGTTTAATCGTTAGCGATTGCTGCTGTTCCCAGTGTTTGCTTTTTAATCGTACAATCGGCGAGAATCCGCGCAGTGTGACGACCATAATCGATGTGATATTCTGTGTTTTCTACTAACGTGCCCTTGGATATTGTTACGTCGCCGATTCGGTGGCTGCGTCTCCGCAGTCTCAAGATGGAAGTCGTTTACATAGGTATGTTAGCCAACAATTATTACTTTAACCATCAGATCTTCTTATTATTGTTACTTTTACTTTGAAAACGTCCCGCATGGGTGGAATGAATGTCTTGATATACATTTATCTTCTAATTACGGTTCGCGTCTTGACATCTTGATGTTAGTTGAGAGGCGCTCAACATTCCGAATTTGATCGGAAAACCGGCACTCGTTCTTCTTTGTTTTTACTTTTACTTTGATCGTTACACATTGAAAAACAGTCGAGGATTTAATAACAGAATTTCACGATTAACTGGATTATTTAGACTCACTTTTCGTTGCGATTTAAATTATTTTTTACGTTTACCACGTTATATTCAATAATGAATGAAATCTATAATAAAATATCGTACGTGGCTCAATAATTTATTGTGTTCTTAGCGTAGAACTCAAAAGATATATTTTATATAATATATTATTATTTACCAATGCATTCTACTCTCACCATCAGTAGGCAATGAGGTTATCTATATCCTAAGGTATGCTTTATCTAATCTTTGAAATTATTTATTCAGCATATATGCGAAACGCATGTACATGTCAAGAAAGAGGTGCGATACACGTGCACGTCAGGAATGATAACTGGGCTGCGTAAGTGGTATCATTTAGATTAGAACGCGTGCTTCGTGTAGCATTTATTAGGTTCGATGAACGAGTTACGATATTACGCGGCATGATATAAAAAAATCGAAGCGCGCAAATTTTTATTCTTGATTTCCTCAATTTTCAATTTTACTTTCAATTTTCACCTTCGTGATTTAGTTTTTAGATATTGAATACTACAATCAAAAATAACTTTCGTCAACAATATTTAATTAACAATAACGAAGGAATTAATCTTTACACTGTGTTAAATTTGCTACGGTGACTATACCGTAATAATAGCTATAGTTTAATATCTATTCATAGACAACATTTCTAATTACTGGTTACGAAAACAATGGGCTTTTTCTCGTGAAAAATCTGAAGCATCGTTTGTTAAATAAAATGTAATAAAGTGTTACACATTGATGCATTAATAGATTAATTCATTAACACGCAAGCAATTAGATAATTGCGGCAATAGATCGTTTAGTTTCACTTTTTTTTTTCTACTGCACGTTTCGTTATATCGTTAATTATTTTTAATTTGACACTGATTTTTGAGGAATTAATTCATTTTCATTAAAATGACATAGAATGTGGACATTTTTTAAGATAGCTGATTGATTATCCATTATTACAGCGCGAATGATTCATTATACATGTATTTGTTAAAATAATGAGTCTCTTTGTTTCCCTTGTTTCAATGAGTCTATTTCAACAGTAGAGAAAACTGCTTGTATATCTTCGGTAGAGAAGAAACGCATTCCATTCTGTTTCATAAAACTACGTAACACTAGTATGACGTACTAGTATGACGAATCAAATGTTAAATGCAAAAAAATTCCTATTTTATAGATCGTTTATTAGCGTTACGTGATCTTTAAAATGTGTGATTGTCACACAAACGAACTCGAGATATTCATCAAAAGTTACGATCCTACATTCCTATATATTGCTTCAGATTTTTCATGATAAACTTCGCACTGTACTAAAACCAGTTGGTTTTCAACCGACTCAGTTTAATTCAATTCGATTTGATGTGCCATTTTAGTTTGATTTAGGTTTTATTCGGCTCGATCCGATACAGAATAGTCTGGTCTTCTGAATATATGAATATATTTATTGTTAGTTTAAAAAAAAGATACCTGAGAAGTATGTTGCTAAACCTATAATGTAGTACACGAGCGATATAGAAAGTTCTAAACAGATACGGTACAGTACAATAATACATCGCGGATTCATAACACTAAATACTTTATTACATTGTATCTGCAAATAGATCGGTAATTTCAGAACGGATTAACCTGGCATAATCCATGCAACCGATCTGACACTGGTCGCGATTAATATCTTTCGTGTTCGAACGTTATAAAATTTTCATCGTGTTGCCTATTACTACTAGCATTTGGTGTACGCAATACGTGTTTATTAATACAGCTAATTTTCAGTGAAATGGTAAAAGCATTAATCGCTGTTAAGTCGATGCGATACGAGACATCTATTAACTGTTCATTAAGTGCGTTCGATGTTAATCTAAGTCATATAGTGGACCTATTAAAAGTTATGCATCTTCTTTCAATTATTCCCTTTATTCAAATTACGATTAATTACAACGATCGTGGTTGATAAGCATAAAAATACTGTGAATTGCAGTTCGATATTATTTAATTCTGCATAACGAGAAATGCCTTATCCGTAGCTGCACGCGGAGGTTGTTCCAATTAGAAGTTAATCATGATATTTTTACTGTACTACATGCCTGAAAATTACATGTTGGATGTTCGAAAATGTAGCCATATGTGCTAGATAGTGGGATACTGTGCGAACATCACGCCGTCTCATTAGTTCGTTTGACCTATGAACTTCAGATGTTGGTGTCGTTTAGGGCCAACGACACGCGTTTCAATATACGCGGCGGTCCTCGCGGTTGGTAGTCCGCATTGTCATCTCGTTTAAATGATTGTTCACCACGCTGGCGACCATTCTAGCCGGTTAGCTTGTTTGAAAAGTGCACGCGGTGCTCCACTTGCATTCAGCCTGGTGCCAATGAATGAAAAGGCGTCACTGAATGGCTTATAGTCTAAAAGTGTTTAAAAGCTTTGCGACTCTTGTCCCAGCTAAGCTAGAGTGCTGGCTGTATAGACTATTGCACAGTATACGCGCAAAGTGCGTTCAATTCGGCGAATAGAAATGTCTGTCCAGATAGAACGTTTCCCGCGTTTTTACAAACCATGGTTTCTCATGGCTCTGAAGTTTCGGTATCCTCTGGTATTTTTTACTGCCACATAGAAAGAGTCTATCTTTTACTACGTATTTTTTTCAATATATGTATATATTTCTGTGTATTCCTTTATACAAATGCACAAAACTCTGCGAAACGGGAATAGTAAAAGTTGCTTACAACATCTTTGCAACGATAGGAACATTCTTTGGATTACAGCCTCTCCCTCCCGGTTGTTCATAGTGTCCTCCTATAAAATTGCGAACATTAATTGTAGCCGTTGTGCTACGTTACGTTGTATTTATAGAGCAATTTTCCGGCGTGTGCAAAGGGTTAAAAGTTCCTTGGCCACTACCTCGACGGTGTTTACGACGAAATTGAGGTAATTTATTGTGAAACGGCAAACGACGCGGTGTATCCGACTAGCGCAGCTAGTATTCCTCGTCGCCTCTTTCGAATTTTCCTCACCTCATTTACTCGACATTTGCATCTTTTTAATGAAGAGGCGACATCGAGTGGTTTCGAGCACCTCGTTCTCGGCGGCTCTTCTCGCTGGATGACGCTTAACGATTCCAGGGAGGAAAAAAGAAGGAAGACAGAGAGAGCGGGGCATCGATGGGATAAAGAACGCTCGGAAGAAAGACGGGAGAGGATCAGGTTCGAGATCGTTAATTCGACTTTGCCAAGCGGTCGGTGGCGTTCGCCAAGAAACGACGATGCGTAAGAGCTCCGGACTCTACGTGGAATCACAACTCGATACGTATATAATTCTACCTGGAGATTCGAACCTGAGCGTAAAGATACCTCGGATGGAGAGCATTTCTCCCGCGAGTGGTAGCCAGACTCGCGAAAAATGCTGCGTCCTTGAGGTAACCGACACTCGAGATCGTGCTGCGACAGCGATACCTGCAAACCTAGCGCGCTATCGATGGCGTAATGGTTACTGATGTAACCAGAAGATCGGTGCGATTGTAAAATATAAAATCCTCATGCTCAGACAGAGTTTTTCCATCTTTTTCTCTCGATAATACGAAATTCCAAATCCAACTTACAGCTGCAGAATATTTATCTCGTGATTTTTAATCCTGTTTTTAGTAGGAATTAACTCTAAAAATCCTCAAGCCTTATTTAGATTACATTCAAAATATAAGTCTTAATATTCATTATATCTTCAGTCAGAAAATATCTTTTACGTGCAGATATTTTAAAGATATTGCGACGATAATTTCTATTCGGCTCGACCTTCGAAGAGACTTCCCTTTAATCGTTCTAGAGTTAATCCACGGAGATACTCCTGCTCGAATCATGTTAAAATGGATCACTCTTGCGAACGCGCGGTAGAACGCGACACGAAAAAAAAGCAAGCATTTCTTTTTAGAAAGCTGGCCGCGATAGATGCCAGTGCAGCAGCGCTTCATCGCGAAATATTTGTCCCGTTGATTTGTTCTAATGAATGCGTTCACATAGCGAAGAGAAGAGAGCTCGTGTTAGCGTGGTGTTTAGCTAAGTTTAGCGATGGTTTCAGATGGCTGGCACTGTTTCCTCGGTGATGTATTATCGAGGCGTTAACAGCGTTACGCGCGCCGAACTTGTGCGCGGTTCGTTCAACCCTCGCAATCGCGGAAAGGGTAACTCGTGACAATTGATCATCGGGAATCATCGGAGCAATCGGATATCGAGACTCGTACACCGTTTCAAGTCCGGGCGAATCCTCTCTTAAGCGAAAATCGATTTTTAAGGCTCACTGATAAACCAACGCTAGACTTTTGTTCTATTTCGCGTGAATGAGGTGTCGAACCTTATCGGAAGCTAAACAATTTCCTGTGCCACCGCATATATGTAAATACGCGTATCTCTCGAAAAGCTACCATAGACATTAATATTCTCTCGCGTACTTGGCCACCGGCTGTTTACGTTAGTTGCTTTGAAAGTGAAGCAACAGATGTGCGTACACGCGTATAAACACTTGAATCCATCTTTGGATTTTCGGAAACGCAAAGGGAATTTCGCTACAGATAGTCTGTACGAACATGTGCACGCAGCTGTTACGTTCTCCAACTTCAGTCAGATATGTTTGTTTCGGTACTGACAATACACAGCTCGTGAGGGTGGTTGTTACTCGAACGTTGCCGGGCTCGAGAATATTAACGACTTAACGGTTTCGTGAGTTGGATGCACATTACTGATTGAAACTACATTTTGCTATTTACCGGTGATATACGCGACTGTATTGTTCGAAACGCCGAATCATAAATAGCTCTCTATTTGTTCGAGATGTATTTGCATCAAAGTAATTTTCGCTTCAACGCGAGTCAGGATGATTTCAGAGCAATATATCTATCTCCTCGTCCATAAAACTTTAGTTGATAAATACGTTCGATTTTGTAATTCAGCCACTCTTAATTCGAACCCTGTTTCACCAGTCAACGTCGAAACTGTGCTTACGTCCCGCTGTTGACATAGAAATAACCGGTTAACAGATAGACTCCACAGTATTCGCGACAATGTTTAAGGTTCGCGTTTCCCGTTTGATACCATGAAAGCTGAATGACCTCGGCTCAGAAATTCCGTTATATCCATCATGTACAACCGTCACCGAGCTTGTCGTTGATCCACCATCTTGGATCCTCTTCTTGTATAAACAATACTCGCAGACTTGATCCTCCCAGATCGCAGCGATGCGAGTAGAATCTTTACAAAATTCAAAAGACTCGTGAAACGTTGAATCTTGTACCAGGCATCGTTCAGACATCGGGAAACTACCCGATCGTTATTCCAAATCAACGAACTTTAATCCAGTTACCTATTCTAGGATTCTAATTATTTAGAGACAGACGGCCGAGAAAGGATAGAAACTCTCTGGAGCGGACTTTTAATCGATCTCCATCGTGAATTGTCTCGTTCTCTCGTTGAAAGCCGAGTTTCCCAATGGGAGGGTATTTTTAAACAAGTTAACTCATCTTGCCGAGTGAACGAGTAAATACCGCGACCTATTAGCAGCGTGGCTAACGTGCATCGCCATCGAACAATCGTTCCGCTGGTCGTTACTCTCGATCGCGTAGGCTGGCCCGATCGAGAGCGCAGGAAGTGGCGCGTTTACGTGACGCGATTGAACTTTTCTGGCAGAAAACGGCGGTGATGCACGGAGGAGGAGGGTCCGGGGAGGCACGGTCATCCGTGCAAAGAAAACCGGCGATCGCGCACGATGCACGATGGTGCAAAAGAACTCGGTGCACCATATTCGGAAGCGGCACGATTTCGTAAGGAAAGGCTCTCCATGCTGACCGGTGCCCGGCCAGGAAAGACGCACGCTCTCGTGCGCGTGTATCTTTTACGGCATACTTTGCTTCGGCTACGTGATTGCCATTCGTGATTTCTCTCCCCCCGCTCCTCCTTGTCCTTCTCGTTTCATTCTCTCTGCTTATCGTCTACCATTTCGTATCGTAAGATAAGCGCGGTCGTTTGTGTTCATTCATCGGTGGTCAGTGACGTCCGCGCGGCGTCCGTGTCGCGTTTCCTTTTCCATTTGCTCGTTTGTTGCAATCTAGGCCGAAAAAATGCATAGCTTTCTGAATCGCTTAGCACCGGGGCTACGCCGATGCAACCTCGATGATTAATAACGTTGCTGATGTTGATGGACTTAATTGTCGCGATGCCACTTCATTTACGACCCTTCATTCCATTCGAGCTCATTTTCGGCGATCGAGGAGGTACTAACGACGAACGGCGATGTTTGGAAAGAGGATAAATGATTTAGAAAATTTGCAGAGGATATTAGCTTGCCCGATTGAGAATTTGCAGCATCCAGTCGACAGGGGTAAGCTAATATGATCGGAATCTGAATATTCTGGTTTCTCGTAAAAATCGCGAGCTAATGTATGCGGTTGCGTTGGATTTTAAAGAACTTTGCGTAGATACAGGAAACACGAGCAGACACGACGAATTATTCGTACAGTTTACGGACAAAATATTTGTCGTTGGCCACCGGATTTCAAACGGATGGTTAGGGGTACTTGTTCCCCGTGGCTGTAAAACGAAACTCGCGACTCGTGAAAAATCGCTAGCCTCACAGAAAAAACTAGCTACAGGTATTTAAGCATCAAGCTTATGACTTTCTGTTGGCCGACCTAAATTTCAAGAGTTTAGTGCTGCATCTACCGGGGTCAATGAGTGTCAACGCGATAGATGACGAGCCGTCGTTGCCACGTCGACAATAATTTCGCGGCGGTGGTCGAAATAACAATGAAACCCACCGCTGTTGTTACAGAAACAAAATATTTAAATCAAGGTCCTTTTAAATCGTAACGCGAGATTCGACTTTTCTACTTGTCCATAAGTTGCAGTTGGATATGTTATGCACGCCGATAAATATATTAAATTAATTAAATATGCAGCTGTTTTTAAATTTTCGTAATTTATTTAATTTCCTTTAACTATCGAGCGCTATTTAATTTTCAAGATCAAGACATCATTGTTAACGAATTCATCACATGAAATTACGTATGTTCAACGATGCAAGTGTATGTTACAAACGACTATGAATACTTCGATTATTGTAACGATTCTGTATGTATATTGCAGATGAGCGAGAAGACGTACAAAAGAAAACGTTTGCAAAATGGATAAATTCGCAGCTGCTTAAGGTACGTACCACGATTGTCTGACTAATGTAATAAACATTATTTGTCAAACATATGTTGAATAAAATCTTTGCACAGAATCACCACGAGCCGATTTCTGATTTGTTCGTTGACTTGAGAGATGGCAATCGATTATTGTCCCTGTTGGAAGTTCTCACGTCGAAAGTCTACGTAAGTACATTTTCAATATAAAAATAAACGATTATATAATCGAGACGGATCGACGCAATGGTTCATTACGAGGCATTATGCGTTATTTTTATTTCATGTGCAATGATGTAACCTTTTAAACATATCGCTGACAGTTGTTCCGTTTTTGAGCGCGCCTCGTGTCTACATTACGAGACGTACGAATAGAATTCCAAGCAGGTGCGCCTATCGAGTACATATTACGGATATTTGCATGAGAGTGCTGATTATCTGTGCACGGTAGGCGTAAGAGCATTCCGAGGGAAAAATATGCGTTGTTCCGCGTATTTGTGTTGCTTCATCGCCGATTTTATTCACTTGGAAGATTCGCTTTATTTACGATACGTTAATCTCTTCAATCTCATTACTTGTAATTTTCGTTACTCCTGTAACAATTTTTTTTTCATCGAAAGCTTACAAAGATATTTACATTAATTAATGTTTGTTTATTACATGTCTTTATTTGTTATTTGTAGAAAAGAGAACGCGGCCGAATGAGAGTTCATCATCTGAATAACGTTAATAAAGCTCTGCAAATTCTCGAGCAGAATAACGTGAGTTGCTAGTTTTACATCTGTGAGGAAAAGTATAAAGGATGCAGGTTAATATCTTTTATTCTGATTTTAGGTGAAACTCGTAAATATTAGCAGCAACGATATAGTTGACGGGAATCCTAAGCTAACACTCGGATTAGTATGGAGTATTATTCTACACTGGCAGGTCAGTTTTATGGCTGGGTCAATTTGCTGAGAATAAAAGTTGTCAGCAAATATTGAGCACGTGTTTATTGCTTGTCATACGTGTAATTTCACGTTATGGATTATCCTTTAACACGTCGTTTATTCCATATTGAAATATTTATTTAGGTACATTATCATCTGAAGGACTTGATGACGGAATTACAACAGACAAATTTGGAGAAAACTCTTTTAGCATGGTGTCGTCAGAATTCACAGGTGGAATCATGTTTGCAGAATAGAATTAATTTTCTCAGTTATTTATGCCATGTATAATAACAAAATTTCTTTTAGAATTATCCTGGAGTTGATATTAAAAATTTCACGACGTCTTGGTCGGATGGTTTGGCATTCAATGCGATCCTGCATAAATGGAAACCACATTTATTCGACTTCAATAATATAGCGCGCAAACATCCGAATGCTAGATTAGATCACGCATTTCGTATTGCTCAAGAACAATTGGGTATCGAACGTTTGTTGGATCCAGAAGGTAAAAACTAAATTGAAAATTTATTAACATCTACAATACATTTAGTTGATGAAATTTAAAATTTATCGACGTTGTATTTTGTCATAGACGTGAATACATCGGTACCGGATAAAAAATCAATAATGATGTACGTTATGTGTCTTTTCCAATCATTACCCCATTCCGGAGATGATATCGGCGAGCTCGATTTATCAGTAGCTAGCGATAATAGTCCTGTTACAACCCCGGGAGCAGAGGTATTCAATTTGACTTCATATCGTCTAGTAATTATATGTATTCTTTTAAGAATGTTCCCTTGCAGAATACACTGTCTTTTACGAATTTTGGAACGCCTGCATCACGACCGATGAGTCTCGCAACGAACGTGTCCGTGGAACTTGGTGGTTATCAAGTTGCTCTCGAGGAAGTTTTGACCTGGCTTCTGGAGGCAGAAGATAAATTAAATCACGTCCCGGAACCTGGATCTACTTTGGAATTATTGAAGCAACAATTTCACGAACACGAGACATTTTTGGTGGAATTGTCGGGACATCAGGACGGAGTCGGTGCCGTATTGGAGGAAGGTGCGAGATTATTAGCAGAAGGTGGTTTACACAAGGATGAGGAGCATGAAGTTCGAGTTCAAATGTCGTTATTAAATTCTCGATGGGAAGGACTTCGAATGCGTGCGATGGAAAGGCAAACCAAAATTCACGAGGTGCGTCTGGTTTAATCGTTGGTTGTATATATGATTAGTAATTAATTTTTCTTGTTGATTACAGGTTCTCATGCAAATGCAGCAAGGCCAGTTGGATGCACTGCGACAGTGGTTAACAAGAACTGAAGATAGAATTTCGCTAATGGCAGCGATTGAATTGAATCAATCTGCTTTGGATGAACAACTGAATAAGTTAAATGAACTAGAACAAGATATTGCAGCACAGCAGGGAGTCGTCGATGGTATGAAAAACATGGTAGTTGTCGTGGATGAAGAAAACTCCGAAGCAGTTTATACGCAAATGCAAGATCAATTATCTGCTCTCGGAGAGCGATGGATCCATATTTGCCAGTGGAAAGAAGAAAGAAGGCAACGTTTGCAAGCTCTTTCTTCGCTCTGGCAAAATGTTAATGATGGTTATAAAAGACTAGTATCATGGTTGAATGAAACTGAAATTACGTTAAAACAAATGGAAGCAAATCCAGCGTCTGAGATTGGCGAAGTGTTAGAAAGGATTAAAAAATTACAAATTTTGAAAATGGACATGGATACGAATCAAAGAAAGTTAATGTCTTTACAAGAATCAGTTCAAGAATTGGAAGGACGAACTACTTCACCAGAATGTGTTAATATATTAGAAAAAATTGAAAATTTGCAAGATCGCTGGGAAGCGGTAGGACAGATAATGGAAGTACAGACGCAAAGGGTAATATATAAAATTTGTATATTTATATATTTTCTATCTTCATATGAATAATAATTCCATTTTTATGTAATTTTATTAATATTAGATAACAAACTCGGGATTTGAATTTGACCTAAAGACTAAGAGGGAAACAACAGTAATTACCGGCAATGAATGGATGTCTGAAACAATAACAAGTATCGCTTATAAAGAAGAAATTGCTGCAGCTGTATGTTCATGAACTAGAAAATATTTATTTGATTCATTACATGCTGTATTAACATTTTTATTTTTTTCAGTCCACACCTCACAGTGATTCGAAAAAACGTCGTGTAGATAGTACAACTAAACATGAATTCGAATCTGCGTTACATAATCTGTATAAATGGCTTGATTATGTTGATTTAGAAATTGGACGATCGGAAGGAGTATTTGATGAATTGAGCATTGAAGAAAAGAAAGTCGTTTACAATGATACAATAGCTGATATAGAGGCACACAAAGATGATTATAATAGAGTTTTGGAATTAGGAAAACATCTTCTTGGAGAACTAAAAGATGCGAATGAATCGATCGAAGCAGAAGAGACAAAAATTAAAGACATACAGAACTGTTGGATGGCAACTAACAATCGGCTTGAAGAAATAAAATCTCGTATAGAATACCTGGAAGAAGTGAAAAAGTTTCGAACAGAATTGGCTAGTTTAAATTTAATGTTAGACAGCTATTCTAAATGGTTCGATTCGAACAAGGGAAACAGTCAAGTAGAACCATTCAGGGTAAATTTCTTGGTTAATTTTGAAAGAGCTTTGAAATATTTCACATGAAGATTTAAATATTATTTTCATTTAGGTAAAATTGAAATCAATGAAATCTCACGAGGAGCGTATTAGAAAATTGTTAGAAAAAATCAAAGAATTGTCAGAAAATCAAACCGGTGGTAATGAAACAGTTAATTTAAATATTGAAATACAAACTTTTGTTTCTAACTGGGAAAAATTATATAAAATGTAAATAATTTACTTCAATATTAATTTGTGAAAAATTCATTCGTACATAACAATAATTTTTTTACAATTATTTTAGACTCTCTGAAAGATTAACTGAATTAAATGAAGCTGTTGATAAAACACCACCAAAAAGGTATACAGACGCAGTTGCTAATCTTACTTCTTTTATTAACAATGTGGAGAGCATGTTATTGTCAGAGCACATAGTGATGTCAGATGATAAAACAATGACGGAACAATTACAAAAATTCAATGATTTACAAAATTCTTTGAAGGAACATCAAGAGATTTTTAGTTATGTAAACAGTGTTGGACATGAATTAATTATGAAAACCAGTGGAGATTGTCAGGGACAAAGACTTAAAGATGCATTACAAGATCTTATCACCAAATGGAGTGATATCCCTATAATATTAGAAGAGCGTCAACAAAATTTGTTAAAAGGTATTTTTGTATAAATTATACTTTCTAATTATTTTTTTAAATATTGTTCGTTCGTTCTTTTTAAATATATTTTAACTTTGCATGTAGATATACAGTCTTTAAAGGTATTTAATGACGAACTTTCGGGTCTCGAAAATTGGCTTGAAAAATCGAGTCAGTATTTAGAAGAATTATCGCAAGATAGTGTATCAAATAATATTGAAAGTATGGAACTTAAATTAAAGCAAATTCAATCTTTTTGCGAAGATATAAATCAAACCAAACCTCAAATAGAAAAACTTCAAATTTCTACAAATAGATTACTGGAAAATTCTGAACCAAAATTTGCGAATATATTAAACAATAAGTTGGAAGTTGTATCGCATAAATGGAATGCTATTGTTGACGGTGCTAAAAGTTTAAATGACAAATATGAGGATACATTGAAAAAAAATGATGAAATAATAAGTGGCATAGAAGATTTTACGAAGTGGTTGTCGACCCTAGAAAAAGAAATACCAGTTGAAACTAAAATAACATCTTCGGTTGAATTGTTTCAAGTTCGTGGCCGATATCAGTCATTAAAAGAAAAGATAGATAAACGAGTAGAAGAATTTAGAAATCTTAATGAAATGGGTAATGATAAATTGTTAAGTTCTGAGGGATCTTCGGTGCAAGAACTTGGTAGACGGTTTACGTTTTTAAATGCTCGGTGGACAGACGTCACTGATCGTATTTATGAACGATATAGACATTTGCAAAATGCCAGCCACGAGTATGGTGAATTCCGCGCTTTAGTTGCACAAGAAAGTGATTGGTTGGATAAATTAGACAAACGATTGAAAAGATCAACAGAAAGGGCTGCAGATGCTGAAGAAATATCAGAGGAACTTGACGTAAGTATATAGTACACGTTATAATATCAAATAAATTTTAGTTTGCATAAAAAACAATGAATTCCTGTTTTAAAAAGGATTTGGAGAATTACATACGAAATCATCCAGAATTAAGACTTGAAAAGATACAAGAAATTGGTAAACAGTTAATTGAAAGTAATATCATGACACATTCCATTCAAGCAGATGTAGAAAGCTTAACAAGTCGTTGGGAGAGCTTAAATAATCAGGTATGTGACTTTTGTGTATAATGTTATAATGCTTGAAATATTGATTTTATTCATAACAAAAGATTGTATTTATTTTTAACTGCATGCATTATTGCTAAAGAAAATGTTTAAATATTTATTTAGATATGTCTATTGAAAAATGTTAGTTTTTTATTCTGCTTTAAAAGATTACTTTTGCTTGTATGAATTATAAAGCTTCTTATTTACTTAATTATTTGAAATTATAATATTATATAAAAGCATATTATTATTATTTAGATCAATTTTTAAAAATTCTTATATCTTTAAGTTAATAAATTTTTAAAAGTTTTTTAAGTTTGGTAAATACATTTAAACAATAGTGTATTCAATAAATTAATTAATTAAGTTACATAGAAAATTAGAATTATATTTTGAGTAGGCAGGGCAGCGAGCAAAGCTGCTGGAAGGATCAGTGAAGCAAGCACAACAATCAGAAGGACGTATTCTTGCCCTTCAGCATTCCTTAACGCAAATAGATTCTGTACTAACTGCACGTCTTGACTGCGACCTTACTGCTGATGATTTACCTCATGATTATCAGGTCTGTTAGTGAAATTTTTTCTTACTCATTTACTAAACATTTGTTTAAATGTTAATGCAAATGAATATGTATAAACATAATATGTGTACTAAATTCGTCTTTTGCTCTTATATTAATAAATATTGTATAAAGCATTGTTTCAAGGAAGCATGACAGAAAAAGTTACATTATTAATATAATATTTCTTTATGGACTGTAAATTAAATAAAGGGTTAGATTTAGAATAAGATTTAAATTTTGTGATGTTAATTTTACGAATTTATATTTCAGAAATTAATGGAAGAAATGGAGCACCAACGTTCAACACTGCAAGAAATGGCATTGCAAATTGAATCATATAAGGCTTCTGGAAAACAAGAAGCTGCACTTCGATTGCAAGAACAACTAACTCTTATTGAACAAAAATTCTCCGAAGTTCAAAAGAAATTCCAACGTTTTCGATGTCCAACGAATTTAGAACCGAGATTATCCAGAGCTTTGCGAGAACTGAGAGGAATAGAAGAAGCAACTTGTCTATTAGAATTATCATCAGAAGATCCAGAAGCTATTGAAGGTCAACTTAAACATTGTCTGGTAATTAACAATATACAATGTAAATTTTATTTCTCTAGAAAAGTGTGAAATTAAATTGTGAAAGATCTGTGATTTTTTATTTACAGCGCTTTTATCAAACATTAAGCGAAATTAAAAGTGAGATAGAAAATATTATACTAACAGGTAGAAAACTAGTTGAAGAAAAAAGTGTCAGTGAACCAGAAAAATTTTCACGACGAATTGATATGTTAAAAGAATTATATAACAAGGTAGTGACTATATAATATTAATAATAATACATAATTTTAAATAGTATTACTTTCTATGTACAACGGTATATGTTTTAATTATTGCAGTTGGGTTTACATATAACTGAGTCAAAAGCATGTTTAGAAACTGCTTTGGATTTATCACGTGATATGTATAAAAATATGTCTTACATTAATATGTCCATAGATAGTATAAACAAAGAATTAGATACACAGAAAAACATGCCTGATCTTCCAGTTAATGCAATATATGTACGAGTAAGTACATAATTATGTATACCGGAAGAAATATATCTTTTTATGAAAACGAATAATTATAAAATTGTTTGAATAGGAAACCCTGACAGAAGTAATACCACGATTAAATGTTGTGAAAGATAAGTTGCTAAATTCTCAGGAAGAATTTTCCAAACTTTGTAATCCTATGTATTTAGAGCAACTAAAAGAGAAATTATCAGATGTTGTTACAAGATTAGCAAATACTGAAAAGAGACTAAAATTATGTAATGCTTCAGAGGTAAATGTATATATAAGTTATGCGTAAATTATTAATGTAATAGTCGAGAAATTTTTGTATTTTTAGGAAGAACCTAATGTTGATGAAATAAGAGCCTGGCTGTTACAAGTGGAGGAAAAACTAAATAAATTAGATGGTGTCCCAGTTGATCAGTTAACGGAAAATCATTTTGAACAATGCAAAGTAATTAATATTTTAAGATATATTACATAAGTTGATATTTTAAAGTCTTTATTTAATGATTCATATTAATTTTTAGGCTGTTCAGAGTGAAATGATCGAGGCAAAACCAAAAGTTAATCAACTTCAACGTTATACTTATTATCCAAGAGTTTCAGATGTTTGCAAGAAATGGGAGGATATATCTAATAGAATACAGGTATGTGTATGTATATTTTTTTATAATAAATTTAAATATCATTCATTGCTTGTTTCCTCATGGCTTGTATTGCTTCTTCTTTATTTTAACATTTGGTATATGTAATGCTTGTGCTTTATAGTACCATTACGTATATCTCATCAAGAAAACTTTTCTATAATATGTATATTGCATAATTAAAAATTTTTTTATATATATTAAAAATATAATTATGTAATTTTTATAAACTAATATTTCACTAAAAATGATAGTTGATGCAATACATCGAACTTTCATATTTGAGGTTTTAAAAGTTTATTAATAAAATTATTTTTTATTTTTTTGATTAGCTATGATTAGCTTTTCACAAATTTATTTGCTTTGTATTTATTTTTTAGTTTATTAAAAAATTCTTTAAAAATTTATATGTAAATAATTATATATATTTCTATTTTTTAAGTTTGATTATTAATATTATGTATATATTTAACACATCATTGTATGAATATTATATATATGTTATATTGGTACATATTAGTGAATTTTATGGAATACTTTGATCCTGTCCAAGAGGTGTCTCTATCTATGTAAATAATACTGCCATTAATTATAAAAAGCAGATATAAACTTTGGTGGATGGAAAATACTTATTATTGATCAGTCATTTATGATATTGTCTCTCCCCTTGTATAGAATTTTATACAGAAATCTGAATATGATTTGCAAAAACAACGAATAAGGAATGAAAAGAAATGTGTTCCAAGTTTTTGTACTGGTGATGGATACACGCAAAGAAAAAGCTTTGTTTGCACAATGAAATGCATTGTCACTTTCATTTTGGCCATGCTTGATATTGTCACACTATTAACAATGCTCTTTCAATTAACGCCTGTCCATGAATTTTCTGTTACCTATCATATTTTCACAGGAATGGATCCACAAAATCACAGACAGTTTATTAGTAAAAAGTAAGGTGGGAGAAACTAAGGGGAGAGACAATTATGGACGCACTAAATTGTCTAAACAGCCGGATCAAACTTCGGTGCAACTAGCTAGAAAAGAAAATAAATTAATAGATGAAAATGAGGAGGTATACGGTATAGGATATCTTAATCCTGCATTTGATGAAAGTCAATGTAATTTTATACATACACCTGAGAGTTCACCAGTTGATATCGTTCATCGAAGTCGGAAATCTTCCGCAAAATCTGAGAAAGTAAAAGCTAAAATCGTAGATGTTAGTAGAACTGTTAGACGAAAATTAGATATGAGTTCTATACCCGATGTTGTTCAAACTTCTCAACCACAAGTCGTTCACATAGATGATGATCCACCTTCTTCATCTCCCGATACAGACGTATACATGGCCGATGAAGAATTTTTTTTGTCGAAAAATAGCACATTATTTTCCCAAGTTTCTTCTAATACACTGGTTACAACAGATTCAAAACCGTTCAACTATAACACACAGATGAATCCCTTCCGTATCGTTGAAGTGAAAGAAATGGAAATAGTAAAATCAATTGCATCTCCCGAAGATCACGTAATATTACCAAGTGCGAATGTCAGTGTAGGATTAATGCCGCAAGTTGTTGAAAGAGTAGAAATTATTGAAGATACAGAAACAGAACCAGAATCAATTGATACTGATACAGAAGATAAAGAATCTAGGGTAAAAATTTGCAGTACAATTAGTAGTGGGAATCAAACTGTTAATAAGAAAAGAGAACTCATTCCTATCCTAAAAAAGAAAACAACAATAGATCCATATTCGGCAAAAAGCGTTAAAAAATTAACTCTTAAATTAGATGTTGAGGCTGATGCACCGGATAATCAAATTTCGAATCGCAAACCACTAAAAAGTCCACAATTTTCGTGTAAAGTAAATAAATTTGAAAAAAATACCGTATTGAAAGATACGGATAGTATAGCTGAATATCTTATACTTGAAGATAATGAAATGAGTACAAAATTGAGTTCAAAAAGTACTGCTGGTTTTTCTGTCACATCAGGGATTAATTCTGCAAAAAACAGGAAAGAACATAGTAGTGACAGAGATATTAATACTGAGAATCACAACGTTGATGAAAAAAACACAAAATTATTGTTGTTCAGACGTACTAGAAGTATCTCAAAAGACGATACATTAGAAGATTGTGAAAGCTTCTACGGAAGCGATAAAGAAACTGATGATGTTTTAATTTTTTCCGATGACACGGAAATTGATGTTGGAAGTTCCAGCTCAGATGGAGAAGATCCAAATTTAGGAGAGCATGTTGAGCACCTCTTGGGCAAGGTAATTCTAATAGCACATATCTTGCCATTGCAAGATCTATCTTGTATGTTATGTATTATTAATAATATAATTTATGCATAACAGTTGCAGTTATAATTTTAATATTTGGTAGATATATAATAATAGGTGAAGGCTAACGTAATATGAAGAAGTGTAATACTTTATAGAGTTCCTTATAATTTTGTTATATATAGATTCAGGGTGAAAAATTGTCACAGGAAATACAACAGAAAGGAGAGGTAAAAGTTTCTAGCGAAAAGAGATCTTTTAAAATGTCAACTACTTTATCCAGAACTGGTTTGGAAAAAAACATTTTGGAATTTGAGCAAGCTGCACAACGGATGTTACATAGAATGGATATCATGTTGATGAGCATTAGTGGCATTACTAATGAAAAAGATCCAACTAAACGCCTGGAGGTTTGTGCAATATTATTTTAAAATTTTACAGTCTTGTTCTACATTATACCTGGTATAACTCGCTATTTTGAGTATGCAAAACTGGATTTTCAGTCGGACTGAAATGCTAATTTAAAAAAATTTCCCACCCAATCTGAATCCATATTTAGAATAGAATATATGTATTTTCACTCACATTCAAATATCTGTATATTTCAGATTCTAAAAGGAGAAGTTAGCACTCTTGCACCAGATGCAGCAGCGTTGATCAGTAGAGGTGATGGTTTAGTCATGACAGTGCACATGTCCGATCCCGTTAGAGCTGAGAAGATAAAAAACGAACACCAGGATAAATTAAGAAGTAAATGGCATCAAGTTATGTCTGAAATAGAAACAAGACGTACACAAGCACAACGAGGAGAGGAAATATTACGACAGTATAATAATATAGTAGCAGAATTTGAAGACTGGTTTCGCGATGTGCCATTGAAACTTGAACAAGTAAATAATTACGAGGGTCAGTTAGAATCGTTTACTATAGAATTTGACGCTAAACAAGAACAGATTAAAAAATTAAATGACATAGCTGTTGAATTGAAAAGATTAAATATTGGATATTCCGAAACTGTACGATATAGTATCAACAATAGATGGCAAGAAGTTAGTTCACAATTTAAGAGATTTAGTGGTAGCAAAGATAAGGACAAACATGTAACAGACAAGAAAGTTGAAATGGTATATTTATATTTCTTACTTTCGATTGAATTTGTTAGATAGTTTTTTTTTATATTAGCTTTATGTTTTTCAGGATGTTGGAGGAGTTGATATGCAAGAATTTACTGCAAGAGTCAATAAGATTAGAGAGGCTGTCGTGACTGTGACAAGATCTTTAAATTCTATACCACTGAATGGTGATGATTATGAAATGTTTTCGAGTCAAGAAGAGTGCTTGAAAAAAATTAGTAACGCATTAAATATTCTAAAGCCGAGTCTTGAAGAGATCAACACTGCTTTCGAAAATGTTGCTTCACAATTAAGAAGAGAGCAAGCCGAACAAATTAGACGTTTAAGTGATAAATTACGAGACGAATGGATAAATGTTAATCAAAGTTACGTAGAAAGACATAATCGTTGGAATAAATGTTATGAAAAGTGGAAAGAAGTTTGCAATACATGCCGAACGTTTTCTGACTGGATGGATAAAACGGAGGAGTCATTACAAAAATCAAATTCTTTTGGTCAAACTAAAGTATCAAAAACAAAAATATTTGAACTAGAACAAGATGTTTCCAGAATGCAAAGAATTATGAATAATATTAATGTTTCAAGCGCTAGTATTTTAAGTCGTGCTAAAACTGAAGATATGGTGGAATTAAGAGAAATGATTGAAACGATAAAGCGACGTTGGCAAAATATTGTAACAGATATAAATACTCGAAAAGAAAAGTATGTAGAAATATTAATTATAATTTATATTGCTTTATTAAATAGATTTTTTATAATATTCATGAATTCGATGCGTTAATACACAAAATAATAGTTCAAAGTTTTTGGTATGTATGTAGCACTGAAAGCAAAGCTTTTTCTCCTACTGAGCTATTTCAGTTGTGATTTGCCTTTGGTGCTGTAGTGATCAACTCAGAATAACCTCCATGTAATAGAGAATTACAAATTAACTAGAATTTAATTCTATTATAGTTACATTTTTTCTTTTTATTGATCTTTTTGTATTTAATTTTTGAAAACATCTTTTTTTTTTAAATTAGCAGTGTCACTTGTAATCTTTGATCTTATATTTAATAATTGTATACCTTTTTTTTTTTAAAGGAACTTTGCTATGGAGAAGAAAGTGAATAATGAAAGCAGAATCTTAGAAAGTGCTCATAACATTTTGGAGCAGATTAATTCTTTATTGGTGTCAGCAGCAAATCCTTCAGATGAGACTTCTTTATCAATAAGATTGTCATTAATTAAGGTAAATTTAAGCACTTATATTCAGCATAAAAATAAATGTATAAATGTTAATATTCACATATCAGCATATTTTTTAAATATATTTGTAATGCATATAATAGTTCATGTCTTCATTATATAGTTTTAAATATAGTTTGAATTATTATTTTTTAGAATCAATTTTAAATAAAATTTTTATTTAAATATAATGTAGAGAATATAATGTAGAATATCTAGCCTGAAGTAGTGGTCGTTACAATGTTATCAAATAAACTGAAACTAAACCTAATAATACCTTCCACGCCATGACTGCATAATCTAAAGTGTGCCAAGACATAAATAGCAATGAACTCTTTGGCCTATTATTATTAAATGTAAATTGTAAAATGTAAACGTAGAATACATTTAATAAAAATATTAATACAAAATAATTATCGTTTTTAGGCTAGACAAGAAGAACTCTTTTCCCGCAAAAGGGCGTTACAAAATTTAATAAATCAAAATGGTATTCCCCCGGCAGAAGACGAATGTAATAAGTTACTTGCAGATATGGATAAAGTATAGTATTAAATCTAAATAAATTGAAATGATGTATCGTCATATTGTAAATGATTATAATTTAAACGAATTATTTAAATTAATGTTTTAGGCTAATACAAGCCTTTCCAGTCATCGCGAATATGTCGAAAATAAACTTGCATCTCTTAAAAAATATATTAGTACCTTGGATACAGTTATGGTGTGGGTTATGGAAACTCGAACGAGAATAAATATATCTCGAGAATTATCCGAAGAAGAACGAACCGAAATTATTAATAACGTTATGGTAAGTGTGGAAGTATGTGTTTAATAAAATGCAAAACAATAAATTAATAACATTCTATATTGTAGACTAAAGTCGAAGATCGAGAAATGGAAGTAAAAGATGTATTAGAGAATTACACAAATTTAGAGAAAGAGTGTGAGTCTGCAAAACAACCTATTTCTATAGAATTACAAGTAAGTAGTGTAAATTATATTTAATATTATTTAATTACATTTAAATTTAAATAAAAAAGTTATAATTTTTTTTGGAGAAGGAACAAATTGTCATAAATTTTTACCTAGAAAACTTTTTGTCTGCTTCAAAATTCGATTTACTATTTAAATATTTGAATATTCCGTCAATAATGAAATAAATGTTGCTATATTCATACTTTTAGTTGTCTAAAACAATTTAAGTTTAAAAGGTGGCGCTCTGACAAGTCAGTGTTCGAACTAACGGTCCAGCGTGCGGGTGGACCGTCCGTTAACAATTTATTTTTTCGGTTTTGTTTCAGTTCTGTTTTATATTTGGAAAATTTTGTTTGCTCGGAAATTTGACTTATCATTTAAATATTTGAATATTCCGTTGATTATGAAGTATTAACTACTTACGGAAGTAAATGTTGCCAAATTCACAATTTTAGTTGTGTAAAACAATTTAAGTTTAAAAGGTGGCGCTCTGACAAGTCAGTGTTCGAATTAACGGTCCAGCGTGCGGGTGGACCGTCCGTTAACAATTTATTTTTTCGGTTTTGTTTCGGTTGTGTCTTATATTTGGTGCTTTTAATAGGAGAAATTGAAAAAGCTAAGAGAAGATTGGCAGTTTGTGAAAAATAATGGAGAATTATCGAGCCATGAAGTCAAAACCATGGTTACAATTGGAACGACGTCACAGGCAATCGGTAAGTCCTTCTTTTTCATATAAATTATGAATTATTAATGATATTATTATTTCTTTACATGATATTTATTTCATTATATGATATTACAATGATATTTACTATGATTCTTAATGATTGATGTTAATTAATGTTCATATCAATCTTATTTGGTCTGTCGCGTCATATTGCGTATCGTATTCTATGCGCGGGAAAGAAAGTCCATTTGAATTCGATGCTTGTTTAGTTTTAACGCTTGTCGTAAGATGGCGCATTTACTCTCAAGTAAAACTAGACTTTCTTCCGAATATATATCCGATACGTTGATTCTCCATCAGCATTTAATTAAAAATATTCATTTCAATAAATCGTATGTGAAGATTTTTATAATTTATTTATCTAAAATGCTCGTCAATTTATAATCTTCAAATGTTTTAGAATTGAGTTATGAAACTTCAATTTCTAATTGTGATGCAATTGTGATTCCAATTTTAAATTTTACGTGTGAAATTTTTATATGTTTAAATTTTATACATTAAATGGAATATCTGATCTGGAGCTTGAAACTTTAACAGTTCTTTTTATCGGCAATTTGTCGAAAAAGTAGTCGCATGCAGCTGATTTTTAAAAATTCAATAGGAATAAAAGCCGTTCTAACTCTTGCTAAATGTGCGCCTCTGCAACTGTCGGAGGATTTTCCAAGGAAACTGGCAACTGAACAATAAATAGTACGTTTAGCCGGTCCGGTAAACGTGGCCACATATCACTTCCACTCCATCCCGTGGAACGATATATATCTGCCACGTTAAGTGCAGCCTTTTCACCAAGTAGAGGGACTCCTTTCTTTTACTTTCGTCCCTCGATCGATCTATGCATTCGAATTGTCGACGGCGATAAATTTCGCTGTGTCGCCGTTCTTTTAATCGGGGTCTCTTTGAGGTTCATGCTTGAATCTTTTGATAAAAGACGAACGGACGCTGTTACAAGTGCTTTTCTGCAAATCCAACAATTTTGACTTACACGTGTATTCTTTTGCCAGTTCGCTAGAGATACAATAAATAAAAAAAATGTTAGTTTAGTTAGTCAAAATAAAAAAAAAAGAGGGAGAAGAAAGAAAAGAAAATTAATATTCGATAAAATAACAAAGAAAAGTGAAGAAAGGGAAATTAATATCTCACAACGAAGATCGAGAGAGATAAATGTCCTTGCGATTCATCGTTTAATTAGAGACCGACTTAGATCTCGAATGGATTAGCGCAGTTGGTGTTAGTTGAACCGTTGAAACGTCGTTGTTGTTATTAAGAAGCTTAAACCTTCATCGGACTCAGCACCATTAACCAACGTTGAATTAAAATTTTGCAGCAGAGCGTATGATTCAGAATCGTGTTCGGGTTAATCGCGGCGAGTTGAGGAAGGAAGAACGTGAGATTGTTGATCCAAAAGCGGAGAGCTTAACGGAAAGGTCGAGGGGTTTGTAGTATAAGCGCGATCGTCGGGCCGCATAATGAGCGGATAAGCCGCCTAATGTAGTCGTGGTAGAACACCACCGGGCTGAAGATAGCTAAGGCTTCGTTCTCTGTTCTTCTTCATCCTCTGTTTCCGACGTTTCCTTCCTCCATTGTCTTTCATCTCTGTGTTAGACCTCCGGTGCTACATCCAGATGAAATCAGGCTCGTTTGACGAAAGTTTCGGGGTCTACAAACGGATTAAGCTCATGTTTTTGATCCACGTTCTGGAATAATATTACTCCCTTTTATATATTATATCCTGTCTTAATTATTTTATATCCCCTTCGTTTCGTTACCATTGCGAACGTTGAAGGGTATGAATGGTGTAGCAAGTCGCGCGTTCATACGGTAAGAGAGGATTGATTAGGGAAGAAAATCTAGTCTTTTTTTTTTACGTTTCCCTAAGGAACGCAGATACCTAACGGGATAGATAGTTTATTTATTTTCGATATTCGAATCGTTTCCAGAGGTTGCCTCGTCGTGGTATTAATTGGCCAAGTCTCTGGTTTGTTACGATTATCGTACGGTGTAAGCATTAGTAGTCTTAATACTGCATTTAAATTATCTTATAATTACATCTGCGGTGGTTGAGTGAAAAAATACAAGTTAAATTTTAATTAAAATAATGCGAGTTATATATATGAAACAGAATGTACGTTATCAACTTTCACATCCAAAATTTAACATCTGATCTTATGTTGTACTTTAAATTTAAATATTATAAATGCTATCCCGGAAAATTAATTAAATGCCAACTTATGTTGTTACCGGATGAAACATTAAAAAAAATTTCGGCATATATCGGCGAATATCGATGCAGCTGAGAATCGAAGAAACTGTCACCGATCTGTTTGTTAATCAATCAATATGTTCATTGCCTCGTACATTAGTGAATAATCGAGTGTGTTGTGTCAGATGCAGACAACACGTGACGAAATAAAGCTGATTAGTCAAATGGATTCCCGCATAGCTTTTGCGCAACATAATATTTCGTCGTTTCCGAGATACGGAAGCGAACTGCAAGTTGATTCGAGCTGACGCGATTAGCGGGAATATATTGTGAGCCATGATCATGTTAACGGTGAATTACGCCGATCCCAGAAAAGCTGCTTTCAACAAGCCTAGCCAGTGTGCATACCGAGGACGAGGAATGGATGTTCACCTGAACAAACTCGTTCCTCGTTAGCGAGAGAGCTCATTAAGACTTTCATGTTCCTGTGGTCACGTTTTTCCCTGGTGTAGCAACATGGATTGAAAAGGGTGGTAAAAAAGAGAGGAAACGCATGAAATTTTCGTCGTACAGAGTGCCTTTTAGCATCCATCATCAACGCGAGATATATTCACTCTTTTATTTCTGCGTCTCCTTTTTCTGTTTCCTTTTTATTTACATTTGTTACGGTAGAAACGCAAATTTGCCGAATATACGCGTCCGCTGTATGCATCGGGAGTTAAACGTTTTGCTCGTACATAGCCGATAAGTCACAGTTAGTGTATAAAATATCGCACGATCGAAATACAGATCATTTTTGCAATAATGTTTCCCTCTTTTATGTACACGTTGCCGGATCAAAATCGGGCAATTCGCAGGATCATGTTGTCGTTGTACGTGGCGTGCGTTAGCGGGCGGCAATAAAAAAACACAGATAAAATTTTCGAGCGCGACCGTGGAACATACAGCGAGGAGAAATATCGGATGTTGCGCCGTTGTGCTGACATAGGAATTGTACTGTATGACGCTGTGCTAATTGCAGCAGGCTGTTGTACGAGAGACAGCTTTTTATGCGGCGACTGGTAATGACATCCGCCCCGCGCAGCTGACCCTCTATTATTTCTCGCCGGTGCTTTCCTATCGAGCAAAATCCTCTTGGCAGGAGAACGCGCGCGTATTTATCTTGCTCTGAATTTCGAATTCCGCATATCAAAGCGCGCATTCAGCCCCTTTCATCATAAATGCCGTCACCGTCGATTTCTCTCCCCCCCTCCCCCCCTCCCCTCCCCCTCACCTACTCTTTTCCTCCCTGGCAATAATTCCTTCGAACTCTTGACTGAATAATGAATCTCGAGATGAAAACCGCTTTTGGACGTACACCGAATTACAGCGTTCTTTGCCTTGTGCGAGTGTTCCGTGGGGTTTACTTTCGCGCAAATTCGCCACAGCTAGAGTGTCCTTCGGCCGCGAGCAGAAAAGATGGAATAATGTCGGTGAACATGCCGTTTGGATTAATTCAGAGGTTTCTATGGCTAACCGAGTGTAATTAAAACAATCGTTTAATTTATTCGTTGAGAACGTTAATCAATCGCGGAACGCTTTAAAGAGGAAGGGAAGTTCCGTCAGCAAGCTTTCATCCACCCTTAACCTTCAATGGCTTCGGATCGTAGATGACTATAGAAATGTACGTTGGGATAACAGAAATTTGGATCATTTGATTTTTGAAAGATAAGCCATAAATAGACTACGGAAATTTTGAGATGTAAGATTGCATAGAATGATGTATATAATACACAAAAATATATAAAACATTTAAATTACACCGCTCCCGATAATCTTTTACTGTTGATCTATCTAAAAATATACCAGTTTGCAAATTCAATTAAATTAAAAATTTCGACATCGAGATACGGTTTTTAATAGTTCGATGATACCAATCGGGAGTTAGGACCATCTTCTTCGTTCGATTTCAATCAATACAAGCAACCGGTGTTCCAAGAAAATAAAAAAGACGAGGCGAGACAGTTGCTAGGGATTTACGTGGAAAATAAGAAGAAAGGCACTTCTCCGGGATCTAATAAGAGCCAGCTTAGCCGTGAAATTTTATTGTACTACGAGAAAGCTTCCAGTGCTGATGGGATGGTTTCGTCGTGCCATACGTTACTGGCACGCATGAATGCGCGTAGGATAGGCGTGTGGGTGGTGCGTAATAGAGGACAACGGTCTATATAACCCCACCGAGGTACATAGGTTGTAGAGGACGAATGACGAAGGGTGGACGGATGAGTGAAATAATGGTTTTTTGGGGCTGTGTTGGACGCCGAAATATGTAACTCGATGGTGACCACGCATTAGAGGGAATGAGATTTTGTATTAAAGGCTTCAATACGGCAATTGTTATTTAAATTTTCGTTTGGAAGCTGCTTTTTTTAAATATCGATCAGTGTGCGCACGCCCGCCTTTATACGAGAATTTTCACGAACTATTTCGCGTAAGCTGAATATTTTTTCGCCGCTTTTTTTGCAAGTGTTCAGTCTGTGCAAACAGAATTTTATTTTATTTTTTTCCCTCATTTGCGATTTGTATGTGATCGTTTCGAAGGGAAGACGATTCGACCAAACGTGCAGATATACGAACGCAAATTTTCTGGTCTAGATCAAGATGAAGCGATTCCTTCAATGTCAACCGACCGAGATACGTTGGCCCGGAGAGGGCTTTGCATTTCTCTTATATCCGCTTTCATTTCGTCTCTCGGATATGTTCGACTTCTCTTTCGAACAAGAAACTTCACTCACGAAACGAGTTCG